TCCTAGTCTGCAAAATAAAGCCCAGGGAAGCGAGCCCCATGACCTGACACGCACGCCTTCATGGTCACTGGCATAGCCGGGTCTATTAAAATGCAACAGTGGCCTGTTTTGTCTGTACGGCTAAAACACGTGCGACTCCATGTGTTTGTTCTGTTCAAATTATTGTACCTTGCTGTTGCAGATGCCTAACCTCCCTTGTTTTAATGAAATGACTTCAATTCGTTGTTGTTTGGGGTGATATTTTGCTGGTATTGGTTGTCATCTCTCTGAATACAATGTGACAAAAATAATTATCTTAAATATTCATGACTACTTCTTGAAAATTAAATATGATCCTGTCCCAGGACTTCGCAAATACTGGCTTCCCTTAGTTTGGATTGTTAAAATTATGGCAAAAAGGACACATAACGTAAAATGGACCCCTTTGACCATTTTAACCTTGTTGAAGTGCGCGGTTCAGTGCAGCAGATGCACACCGCGGTGGCGCCGTCTGTTCCAGGGCTTGTCTTCAGCCCCAGGTCCATCTCGGCAGCCACACTTCTTTCCTGTCTCCCACACACTCTACAGTCAGACTCCGTTTGTATGAAGTATCATTAGGTAGGGCAGACGGCAGACCGAGGCAGGGAAGAGGAGAGAGGCACCTCTCACCCATGGACTCCGCAGTCTTGAGCCTGGCCCCCTAATGTTGCCAGGTGTCCCAACACCACAGAACGCACCATGCAGACACAGGAGGAGGGCAGTCCTCAAAATTCTAGGTATCGTTTCCACTAGCTGGGAAAGAAAGCCTTTGAAATTGTACTTCCATCCCAAGGCCTATAAGGCGGGAAAGGGCCCATAGTGCCCAAAGGAAGAAGGCCATAAACCCCCTTGGCTATTCATGCCCTCCCCCAAACTGGCACCACCTGTACCTGTCAATCAATGTGTAACTTCTTCACCCCCAACCCACCAACTATATAAGTCCTCAGAACAAAGGACTTGGGGCTCTTGCCTTTCTCCCCGACCTGGGCGAGGCCTGTTCTCTTCCCTGAGAACATTTCACCCATAATCGCTGCTTGCACGCTAATGGACCTGCCAATCTGTAATTCGTTACTGCGTTGGCAAGAAGAACCAAGTTTGTCCCACAACAGTATTGAGAATAGGCAAATAGATAGAGACAGAAAGCAGATTAGTGGCTTGCTGTGGCTGAAAGTGGGTGTTGGGGAGAAATAGGCAGTGACTTGCTAACGAGCACAGGTTTCATGGTAATGAAAATCTCCTAAAATTGATTACGGCAATGGGTACGTGCAACATTCTCGCTCTTATTCAGTAAGTGCTTATTGGCCAATAAATGTGAACGATATGATGTATGTTTTGAAATACAGTCATTTATGTTAATAATTATTTATAATGAAAAGTTTTTTTTAATTACTTTGCTCTTTGAGCTCCACAGAGGGCTGTTGGTAAATGTTCCTTCCTATGTAAAAGTAACACATGCTTATTCAAGAGAAAGCAATCTGCCCCTGGCCACATTCCTAATCTGTCCCCCTCCCCATGTTCTTAATCTGCTCCTCAGGGTGTGGATGTGACCTGCCAGACACTTCTACATTTATCTTTTTTATTATGTGCTTTAAAAAAAAACTGCCCAGACCAGAAATGAGGTCACATGCTGCAGCCTGCTTTGTAGCTCACTTTCCTCCTTTAACAATAGCAGGCCAGGCTCCTTTGGAGGTCTGGGCATTGAACTGTGCTCCCTCCATGGACTGGTGAAGAGTCCCGTCCATGCAGAACTTGCCCTTGGGGCAAAGGGGGCCTTGAGTGCCGCCATCTTGATTAGGAAACAGACCTCAAGCCACCAGTGCAGTTTGCAAGGGAATCCTGAGAAAAGAGCCGTTTTTGTCCTTCATAAAGCACCAGCCTGTGGCTGGATGCCACGTGCCTTGAACCCATGAAAACTCCAGACCTTCCTGGGGCAGCGAGAGGATCCTAGGTGGAACTGAACAGGAGAAGGCGGGGGTAAGATGTGTGGGTTTGCTGCCAGATCGGATTCTTGCTATAGGGGATCCTAGAGCCCCAACATGGGCATGTTTGGGTCACCTGTCCCATTTCCTCTGGGGCTTTGGTCACTGACATTGAGAAATATAATAATAAAATGATTTACATCAAGGGAAAGTTCCTCCCAGGAAAACTAATTGTAATATTCACTCAGCACACTCAGGAAATGATGTTTCTTTAGCATGTAATCAGCTAGCACTATGGAACACAAAGAAAATAATTTATGCTTGTATGTGGAGACCTGTATAAGAACATTTCTTAGACTGTTAATATTTTTAAAATTGGACACACTTCAAATTTCTCTGAGCAGGGCAATGAAGAAATAAATTGAGGCAATACCCACAGACCGGAGTATTTGACAGCCAGGATAATGACTGGACTAGATATCAAAATAATATGAAAGAGCAAGGAGCAGAATGTTGTATGTTGTGTGAGACTGTTCTAAAAATGCACAGAATGCTGCATATGGTTTGTGGATATGTGTGCGATTTTAAGTGAAAGCGTAGAGAGTGCCAGAGGTCCTAATGGTGATGACCTGGGGGAAGGGGGAAGGACTGCCCTCCAGGGCTCATCTGGGACTTCGCCTGCAGCTGCGATGTCAATTTCTTTCTTTTTTATTGTGGTTAAAAAAAAAATTGGCCACCTTCACCATTTCTAAGGTTTCGTGCCGTTCAGTAGTGTTAGCACCTTCACGTTGTCATGGAACAGGTCTGCGGCACTGTTTGCACTTTGCGAGACCGAACCGGTCCCCACGGCACCGTAGCTCCACCCCCAGCAACCCCTGGCAGCCACCACTCTGTTCTCTGCTTCTCTGAACTTGACTCTTCTGAAGTGGAGTTATATAGTCATTACCTCTTTGTGACTGACTTATTTACCAAACATAATGTCCTCAAGACTCATCCTTCTTGTAGCAGGTGACAAGACTTACTCCTTTTTTTTTTTAAGGCTGAATAATATTCCATTGTATGTCTACACCCCTTTTTTCTAATCCATTCATCTGTGGACGGACACTTGGGTTGCTTCCCCTGTTGGCTGCTGTGATTAGTGCTGCATTGGAGACCCAGACGGGGGCTGGGAGGTCTCTAGGTCCCGCGTTTGAGATGAAGTCCAAACCTCCCAGTGTCCTCCTGCCTTAGAAATCTGCAAAGTGTGTACACACACATGTTCCTGCCAGCCTTGGGCTTTTCTGGCCTTCTTAGCAGACAGCCAGATGTCCTTTCCCCCACGGACTGTGTGGAAGCTGGAGGTCCCTGACGGGGTCTGGCCATGGCTGCCCCCCTTAAACAAGGGCCCTGCTCTCCGGCACCCCCAGGCCCCATTGCTCCCCATTCATCCGACCTACAATGCTGATAGGTATTGTGGCATTTCATCATCACATCTGCCTCGTTGCTTCCTCACGGCAGTGGTGACAGGAATGCGAAATGGTTTTTGTGACCAGCCTCCATCAACAATTAGGGAATGGACGGTCAGTGGACAAGGTGGGGTGCTTCACGAAAAAGGTGAGGGCGGGTTTGTGGAAGCGAAGGATATTCCTTTCGGTTTGATAGGTGAGGAAAGTATATCTGTCTGAGAAGTTCGTTGCTGAAGATTCCGTTACAAATAAACCATAGTAAGAACTCTAACCAGCATCTAGAAGAGATGAGTGGTAAAGAGTTCGTGACAATAAAAGGGATTACAGTTTCAGAAAGATTTGGTTTTGAACGTGTGTGGGGGATGCTGTTGTATCACGCATGCTGTCCAGTTATGGGTTCAAGTGGGATAATGTCTGCTTTTCAGTGGCCCCTGCTGTTCCTATTGTCGAAGAGACATTATGAAGCAACGTTCATTTGTCATGTATGCCGTAAACATCCCAAGGCAGGAAAGACACTCCGAGCACCAGACCGGTGGACCAGTCAACTTTCCTCGGTCAGAGGCAACAGAAACGGCCTCACCCCTAGGCAGGAAAGAAGTCTGCTGGTCAGATCTGCTCTAGTTCACAGAGGAGCCAACTTCGAAGGACCCTCAATGTGGCCACAGAGCCGGGGAGCCTCCTGTTGGCCTGGCTCGGTGGCTCCCGCAGTTTTGTTCTTTCTACCCTTTGGCTCAAGCCTCGACTTCCAGGAATGGGAGGCCCTGATGGGCCTGGCTTGCTTCACAGGTCCGCCCCTGAGGGGTTCTCAGGCCTGGGTGGTGGTATTACTCTAATTCACAAAAATGAGGGGATGGCTAAGAGAGGTTCCGTGAAGGATAAAAATAGCAACGGAAAATAGAAGTGTATCAGAAAAGGAGTGGCCAGGTTCTCCACTGTGATTCCCTTATGCTGGGGCGGGTGAATCTGAGAGGATCAAGAGTTTGAGTAAGCAGCCGAAAATCTGTCAACCAAACCAAACAATAGCAACGACAGCAACAACAAAAACCCAAAAGTGAGTCCAACAGTGGCTTCCTAGAAGTTCCATTTTTCTCTACCGAGAATTCTGGTGTGTGGGGTCTGTTGTAAAGCCCCACCCCTCAGCCCTGAGCATCACCGCAGATGAGGGAGTCTCGAAAGACTTCTCACCGCAAAGCAGGGCAGAGGACACACCTTGGAGTCACCTTTGCTCTCACCAGCTTCGGGAGGAGAGTCCAGGAAAAACATGCGGAGGCCTGAGCTGTCTACAGCTGGGAGGGGAAGGGTTGCCTTGGGCAGGTGCAGTGGCCTGTGCCCCAGACTGTGGGGTGTTCTATCAGTGCAGGCGAGCAATGCCTGCACCATATTTGGGTAGCAGGTGTGTTGCTTAACTATTTGACAAACCAGTGGTGAGGAGGAAGCCCTGCTCAGGCGGTGTGTGGTACATAAATGAAGGAGTCCTTGACTATTCCTTGTTCTGTTAACTTCACGAGATTTTGAAACATAGGAAAGCTCTTATTGGCATATTTTATGTTTTTTACCTTTGTTCAGGCTGAAATATTTCTCTTTTTTTAATTAAAGATTTTTATTTATTTATCTTTAGAGGGGAAGAGAAGGAGAGAGGGAGAGAAACACCAATGTATGGTTGCCTCCCCTGCTGAGAACTGGCCTGCAACCCAGGCATGTGCCCTGACTGGGAATCAAACCGCTATCCTTTGGTTCACAAGCCTGTGCTCAATCCAATGAGCTATGCCAGCCAGGCCTCTTATTGGCATATTTTAAAGCCACTCTCCAAGTCTACAGCAGAATGGGAAGAAATATTTTCCAAGAGAAGCAATCAAGCGGCCTAGAAATCCACCCATCACTCTTTCCCAGGATAAAACTTTCAGCTTTCCAGAAGAAGTTTTCAGCTTCCCCCGTTTTGAGTGTGATGGGTGGGCCCGGGAGCACCCGAGAGCTGTCATCAGTGGGAAAAAAAATCGCTCTGTGATTTTGGGGTCCATGTCCAATGTGAACATTGAGAACTGTCTGACAGCTGCTATAACCGACAGCAATTCCAGAAATCCTTACATTGAGAGCGGGATTCTCCAACTTCACGAAGGTAGAGAGTAAAAATGGAGGGTGACCAGCAGAGAAAGGTAACATATGAAACAGGTAACATACCTGTTTCATGTCTCACAGTCCTGGACATGGAGCCCTTGGTGTCAGATTGCAGATGAATTTCTTCTCAAAGATATAAAACCGTTATTACTATTATTACCAACTGGGAAGAGTTAAATAATAATTGTTAACATTGTAATGACTCTTTTAAAACTTCACCTAAAGTCGATGGTCAGCACGAAGCGGCCCAGAGAGGGGGAAATCAGAGGCCTGCTGTTCACCAGGTCCTTGGCAGGACTCGGAGCCTTTCTCGAGGGCACAAGGAAACTGTGTTTCTCGCAGGTACTTAAAGACGACTCCGGGGGCAGTTTGGAGGCAGTTAGGGTCGGTGCACTGACCTTACTCAGCTCCCGACTCCTGCTGGGCGGCCCAGGGACTCGGGCTCCATCCCTGGCTCTGCTTCCACTCCCTGTAACGGCAGCAGCACAGGGGCCAGTCTGAGAAATGCAGCCGTGGAGACGGGTCACCACCCTGGTGTCAGAAGCCCTGCCCCTGCCACTTTCCAGGTATGCGGCTTCGGGGAAGTGACGGTCCCACTCTGAGCCACTGTGTTTCCACCTGGGAAGCTTCGGTCGGTCATTCCTTCCTCTGGGCAGGGTGATTGTGAATTATGAACAAGAAAATATGAAAGCTTGTAGGGACCCACTATGCAGAACATACCAAAGGATCCATTCCCGCTTCTCCCACAGACAGCGATTTTCCCAGTCTGTTCTTTAAGCCTGGCCCTGCTTGGTGTTAAAGGTGACAGAGAATGATGAGACACTCAGGTGCAGGGGGAAGTCCAGAGGAAGGGACAGTGGCCCTCCTTCCACCGCCGCCCATCTACAGCTCCAGTAAATGCTTCTCAGGGGCCCATGCCAGCCCCCAACCTGCGAGCCCCCAGGTTCCGTGGGGCTGCATCTTACCACAGCGTTGTCGACACTTTCCTCAGTCGTGGCATCGGTGCTGGACAAGAGCTGCTCACAGAGGCTGGGGCACAGCTCCCATCTGGCCCTGTGATTGGACAGGGCTCAACTGGACAGGACTCGGTGGGCAGCTGCGTTTGAAGCCACGGAAGACAATGGGGCTGAGCCTGCAGAGAAGCCACCCCGGGAGTCTGAGGACGCTCACAGGGGTGGGAAAACCAAGCCCCGCCTCCCCATGGGTTCCTGTGTCCAGTCCGACAGACGTGTGCAGACACACGGCAGGTGCTGAGGGGGTAGATAGACCAGGGCCTCAGCTGGACGGGACTTTGTGTTCCAGCGAAAGGGATGTCTTCTGGGTCAGACCTGCGGGCAGCCAGGCTTCCAGAACAGCCCGGCTAAGTTTAGGAAACAGTCAGGCTTTTCATCCCGGCCCCTCCGGAGTCTCATGTCCAGACGTTTGCTTGGCAGCACCATGGTAACCGTGATGCCACAATGGAACATTCTCCCCAAGGTGGCAGAAGGAATCCCTCTGTTGGGCTGTGCTGTGCACAGGCAGAGTGAGTTCATTTCTCCTTTAGCAGGGACAGTGCCCAGAGGAACTCTGAGGACCATCCTGACGAAAGAAACATCCGGTGTCGTGAGTGGAACATGGTGACTGAGGATGGCACCCATGGGTTCCTCCGGCCCTTGTGCATTGTTTGAGGCAAGGGTGGGTCTGGAGGTACGGCTGGTGATGAAGTCTCATGGGCTTTGGATTTAGACAGACCTGACCTTGGATTCCAGCCTCACCCCTTGGCAGCCGTGTGCCCGCGGGCAGGCTTCTCAGTGTCTCAGTGTCACCTTCCGAATCCGTAAAACGGGGAGAGAGATAGCGTCGACTCTACAGGGTTATTGCGCAAAAACTGAGCAAAGTGCTGGGGCCGTTGCCATGTGAAAGCACGAGCTGTCACTGGGTAAAGGGAACCCAGCACGGTCTACGCCCGCAGAGTGTAGTGGTGGGGGGCAAAACCAGCGTGGGCTTGCCCCGAAGCCCCTGCTTTCTTCTTTCAGCAGCTTTTTATGGCTACAGAGTTAAGGCGAGGGTTGAATTCCGCGAGTGAAAACACCACACTTCTCTGAGACCCAGCTCTCTGGGAGCCGGGGACCCTGGCTGCATTGACAGGCGCCGGCTGCCTCCTCCCCTTGGGCCGGCTCCAAATCCTAACAGAATCTCCGTGCCGGGCGGCTGGTCCCTGCCTCTCCGCTGCACGGAACCAAGCCACAGGGAGGGGACAGGTCTGTTCCTCACCTCGAGGAAGGAAAGGGGTGGGCCTCCGACGCTGCAGGCGTTGAGCCTCCGGGGAGGAGAGGCCGAGCCTGCGTGTTGCTTCCACAGCTGCCCATGGTGTCTGCTGCGGCTCTGCTGGGGGATGGCAGGGACGGCCCGGATGCTCTTGGTGCTGCTGTCCGTCTCTGTGTCCGTGGTGTCCCGCGCTGCTGCCAGTGAGTGTGCTGCTCCCTGCCTTCCCGACTTAGTGGGTCCTGGAACACATGGCCGGGGGCGTGGTCCAGAAAAGTGAGCAGTCGGTGTCCAGAGAGGGACCCTGGGGAAGATGACTCACGGCATTTTGCTCTGGGAGCCTGCGTTACTGGTGGGGACCAGGCAGAGAAGTGGAGTGTGGGGCATGGACATAGGACACTGGGGTTAATCCTCGGGAGAGAGTGCAGTTGGGAAAGTGAGCCTCGCTGGACAGAGGGGGTCGGGGCGTGGGCTGGCTCCCCACTCACGGCCTCCCACCTTGCTCTTCCGGGGGCGTGTCCCCCCGGCACTGGCAGGTGGAGGTGTCCTTCCAGAGCCTGGCGCACATGGGAGCCAGGCCCCTCCTGTGTTTCTACAGCGGCGTGGCCATCCCTGGGAATTATGATCGCATCGAAAGAGCATGCTGCTAAATTGACCCCAGTTGCAGGGCTGGGCCCAGGAGGGAGGCAGGAGAAGCTTTGAGGCAGCTGCAGGTCCCCTCCCTGACCTCCAGGTTGCCCAGGACTAAGATTCCAAACTAGGAAGGGGCCGATGGAGAGGGCCCCTAACAAAGCAGGCTCTGCCCGACCTCGCTGCCACCAGCAGGCTCCTGTCCTGTCTTCCTGCAGTTGGGTGGGTGACAGGAGAGAGCCCCCCACACATACATCCACAGAACTCCCCACCTTCCGGGCCTGCTTCACCTCCCTGCGTCCCAAGGAGACCAAGGGGCGCCCACAAAACACAGAAAGGCCTGCTCACACCTCAGGGAAGTGACCCAGGTCCGACATTCCATCTCTGAGGCAGATTTCCTCGTGGCATCCTGGCCTTGCAAGGCTTTTACAAGGTCGAATGGACTGGCCCCCTAAAGCTTTGAGAAAGCAGAGGGCACCACACCCTGTATGTTGGTGTTGGGTTAAGGAGGGTTGGCTCATGCCTAGTTCACCATAGACGGCCAGCATCCCTGGGGAAAATGGGATTCCTATCCAGGTGACGCTGAAGGACTTAGTGGCCTTAGAGACATCATCTTGCCAACAGCGTGCTCAGTGTCCCAGTTGCAGTTCATAAAGGTGTTTGATCACTGGCTGCCCTATGGTGGGGAAGGCTGCTCTGGTCCTTTAATGACAGCACCAAATGCTGCCATCGACTTCAGGGTCACGGCTGGAGACCCGGTCTTCGGGGCTGGCCTCAGAGGCCGCCCCAGGGGTAAGAAGCCCTCCCGGACTGCACGCTCCAGGCGGAGCTCTGTCCCCTCCTGTGCAGGCTCTGGGCACACTCGCCCGTGTCGTGAGTCTCTCTGTGCGACTATGATGCTTCAGGGTCTGTCTCCCCAGGCCCTGTGCTCTCGCTCGGGCCCAGCAGGATCCTGAGATCCTCCCCTACAAGCCCAGCCCCTGGCTCAGCGTGTGGCAGGGCGGTGTGTGTGGTGTGAGTGGTGGCATGAATGGCTGAAAAGGAAGCCGCCAAATGATGTGACCCATGGTAGATGAGTGGTACCCATCACGTGACATCCATGACTCAAGGCCCCTGATTGAGAAAGAAGCCCGGGGCACTTGGGGTTTGGGATGTAAAAACAGCAACCAGAGCAGCTGGGGTAGAAAAAAGTGATAATCCATTCTGTCCCTGGGTTTAGCATTATCGGTCATGGGATACAATTTGCGAAGCACGTTCCCATAACCTCACCTCACATGATCTTTACAACTCCAAGGGGACTGTTACCCCAGGTTTCAGAACAGGAAACTGAGGCCCAGAGAGGGGAGGTGGCTTGCCCCAGGTCTCACCAAATAGGGGTCAACTGGACTTGGGACGCCACATCCAGGACCTTCCCAAAACACCTGTGGTTTTCAACCAAGAACACACATTGGAATCTGCCTGGGAGCTTTTTGGCTTTTTTTTTTTAAAGGTTTCATTTACTTATTTTTAAAGACGGGAAGGGAGGGAAAAAGAGGGAGAAACACATCGGTGTGTGGTTGCCCCTCAAGTGCCCCTCACTGGGGACCTGGCCCACAACCCAGGCACACGCCCCGACCAGGAATTGAACTGGTGACCCTTTGGTTCGCAGGCCAGCACTCAGCTCACTGAGCCACACGGGCCAGGGCTGCCTGGAAGGTTTTTTAACAGTGCCAGTGCCCCGACCCAGGAGGGGCCGGGCGGTCTGGCGTGGTGGGGGTGGCCACGGGCCGCAGACTTCCCGCCCCAGTAGTGAGCCCCCCGCACACTCCCTGTGCAGGTTGTGGTGTCCAGAAAGCCAGCGTCATAGAAGATGTTGAGGAGGGTTTGGTGAGCGAAGATGAGTTCCCATGGGTGGTGTCCCTGCAGGATTCCCACCACACCCACCTGGCCTTCGGCAGCATCCTCAGTGAGTTCTGGATCCTCAGCATCGCATCCGCCTTTCAGCACAGGCCAGTACCCCCGCCCCTGGGCCGGCGCTGCCCCCCTGGGGCTGGACTGGGGGGCTCTGTTTCCGCTTGAGGCGGCCTGGGGTGGTTTCCTGGTGACAGGGTGGCAGGGCTTTTCACCGGCTCAGCACTCGCTTGGCCGGTGAGTGTTGGAGTCCCGGAGTCACCAGACGCCGAAGTTGGAGCCGTCTGGTGTCTTCATCTGCAAAGGGGAAGAGTTGTCGCTCCAGCCTCTGCAGGAAGGATGTTCCTTCCCACTGTCCTGTGATCACAAAGGCCCAGGCTCTGAGAGGGCCCCTTATCTGAAAACACACGCCTCAGGCCTCAACAGTGTGACTGCCACGCATGTGCATGTGTGCAAGGGCTTGAAGGAAAACGCAGCTGTTCCAGGGGCGCTGATCTCCGCGTGCTCAGAAGCACACGGTTTTCTTCTTTGAACGTCTCTGTGTTTTCCAGATTCTTTACAGTACATGTGCATTCTTTGAAACCAGACAGAAAACACCCACAAAATGTTATTAGAGGAATAACTTTTTTTTTTTTGCAAAACATCTTAGTTTTTGACCCAGTGGTATAGCTTTTGGGACTCCACATTAAGGAAATAATTTCAACCACTGGGAAAGTTTTACGCACAAAGTTGTTCCTAGGATGGTTAATAAGCAGAGCACTGGAACGTAATATTGTCTGGGATAAATAAATGATAGTGTGTTACTCTTTTATATAGTACACCTAGTATGAATTATATAATATAGTCTCTAACTAGTATACACAATATAGAGTATGTTGTATATGCTTATATAATATATAAACACTGCTTATACATAATTTTATGTGTGTGTATATACACACACACAGAGTATGGGGGAAAGAGTATCATTACTATAACTGGCAAAACAAATTCTAGTATAAACCTTCAATAGAATATTATGTAGCTGCTGAATTTTTGAACATCATTTATTTTTTTTAATGAACAATATACATGTTGAAATGAAAATACATGCATAAAGTATAATGCTCATGAAGAACCAAAGGATTTAAGAGGAGAGCCAGCCTTGCCTTCCCAGAACTTCAGTTACTAGCCCCGCTCCCCACGGCTCTGTCTCCAGTCTCTGCTCTGCGCACTGAAGGAGATCTGTGCGCCTGCCGGTCTGTATTTATTGATTCCTTTACCCATCAACAGAGGAAGGGTTTTCTTTCCCTCCTGTGTCAGTCTGCAAAATGCCACAGACGGGGTGGCTTAGACAACAGAGATTCGTTACTGTTCTGGAGGCTGGAAGTCCGAGAGCAAGGTGCTGCCAGGGGTGGTTTCTCCTGAGGACGATCCTGGGCCTGCAGGTGGTCCCCTCCTCCCTGTGCGCTCACAGGGCCTTTGCCCCCGAAGTGGGAGCGCTCACTCGCTGCTGCTGTTTGCAGCCGTGAGGCCATCACTGTAGACAGAGCCCGTTCTCACCACGAAGAGCCTCCGGTTGCCTTCATGCTCTTCTGCTGATGTTCAGGACAAAACTCCTGCTTCTTAGTTTCATTGAAGGTTATGTTTTTTGTTTTTATTGCTTCGTGGTTTTGTTTTCATTACATGCCCTTTGTTTTGTATGTCTCTACTGACAAATGTGGCGAGTTTGAATTTCTGCTGTGGGTTCACCTTAGAGCTGCGATCGCACGGAAGGTTCACAGTATTCTCTCTGGACCGCGCTCTCTAGACTCTGCTGCGGCCGGGGCCGGAGCTCCTCCTCCATCACCCAGTGCTCGTAGATTTGCGTGCGCTGTAGGCGTGATGACGCGTCCTTGTCCCTTCATGTGTGAGCTACGCATACGTCACGTTTAGACCCCGATGGAGGGTGAGGGGAGACCCTCTGGCTTCTTTTTCGGCTTTAGTTAGACCACCTGATCATTGCCTAGGTTCACGTTTGTACTCCCACCTAAACTCTTAAAGCTTTTGTGTTCAATCTAATGTTACAATGAATTCCACCTTTACTGACAGTGCTTTTGCTGGATTTTCTCCATTCAGCACTAGAATTGGCGAAATTTGTCTTCAAGTAATTTTTTTAAAAATACGATCTCCCTACAGTTTCCAATTTCTTCCTTTCCATTTACTCTTTTTTTAAAAAGATTTTATTTATTTATCTTTAGAGGGGAAGAGAAGGAGAGAAGGAGGGAAATGTCAATATATGGTTGCCTCTTGTGAGTCCCCTGCTGGGAACTGGCCTGCAACCCAGGCATGTGCCCTGACTGGGAATCGAACCACGATCATCTGGTTCACAGACCCGCGCTCAATCCACTGAGCTACACCAGCCAGGGCTCAAGTAATTAATTTTTTAAAAGATTTTATTTATTTTTAGAGAGAGGGGAAGGGACGGAGAAAGAGAGGGAGAGAAACATTGGTGTGTGGTTGCCTCTTGCGTGTCCTCTGTGAGGGACTCAGCCTATAACCCAAGCCCGTGCCCTGATGGGAATTGAACCGGTGACCCTTTGGTTCCCAGGCCAGCATTCATCCACTGAGCCAAACCAGCCAGGGCAAATAAACAAAATCTTTGAAAAAAAAAAAAAAGAGTAATTTTTAAAAAAGATTTTATTTATTTTCTTTAGAGGGGAAGGGAAGGAGAGAGGGAGACAAATATCAATGTGTGGTTGCTTCTTGTGTGTCCCCTGTTAGGAACTGGCCTGCAACCCAGGCATGTCCCCTGACTGGGAATCAAACCTCGATCCTTTGGTTCGCAGGCCTGCACTCAATCCACTGAGCTACACCAGCCAGGGCAAAGGATCACATCTTTGATTGGACTACAACTATGTCAAAAAAAACTATGCGCAGAAAAAAAGATAATCAGCCATAACATGACAGATTGTCTTGAGGCGGTGGGACAAAGGATGTTAAGACAGAAGAATCCCCAAGGTTCTGTGGGCCAACAAAGAGGGGCACAAGCCTAGGGGCTCAGATAAGATTTCCTGGGGCCGGGCCCAAAAGGCGAGTAAAATTGGGCCCAGGGAAGAGGAGTCCGATGGGTTTGTTCCAGGCTGACCACGTGGTAAATAGGAGAACGGGGACATGTCAAGCTGCTCTAGAGCCTCGGCTCTCAAGACCCCCTTGCTCCCCGCAGGCAGTCCGCGGTCGCCGTCGTGGGCATAGCCAGCATGGACGCCACAGTGCTCGTCCACGAAGAGTACGCGGTCAGCACCATCATCCTCCACGAGGACTTCGATGCGGCCGCCATGACCGATAACTTAGCCCTCCTGAAGACAGACGCGGCGATGCAGTTCAGCGGCCTGGTCCGACCCATCTGTTTCCTCAGCAAAAGGCTGCACCTGCCGCTAGCCCTGCAGAACTGCTGGGTGGCAGGGTGGAACCCCACGTTTGCAGTTAATGCCTTCCTTCCCCGAGGGGGGCTGTGTGTGCGCTGGCTGTGGCTGTGGGGTGACTTGGATGAGCCTTCGGGGGCAGGCAGGCGGCTCGCGGTTCTCGAGTGGGGCAGGAAGCCTCACCTCACCAGTGCAGATTCCCAGTGCTTGCCCCTCCTGTGGCCACGCCTACACTCGGTCCTTTTTCGTCTAGTCCTGCACCAGAACTGGAAGTGTACGGGCAGCTCGCAGCCTGAAATTAGTGCGAGGGTGTAAACATATAGAAGGGCTGGGGACATCATTCGCTGAACTAGAGGGAATCGTTCTCTTGTTTTCTTTTATTCTTGGGAAACAAGGAAATGCATCCTCTATACATGTCGAGATAGGATGAATATGTTCTCTGCCTATATTCACAGTCAAGTTCAAAGCAAAGGTAATTTTCGCAAAATCTCAGACGCAGGTTCTGATTTCAGTGAGGACCAGGGGTTCCTCAAGCCAGTTTCCCCTCATTCCCATCTGGACACGTGAGTTGTCACTGTGCTGACCTGGGGGATGTGTTCTTGTTAGTGATTCTCACGCTCTCTGTTGCACGGTCCAGACAGGGAATCACATGACGATGAGTATCCTGAGGAAGGTTTCCGTGAACGACCTCGACCAGTGTCCCTTCCCCAAATTCCAGAAGACAGGATGTGGCAATCACGTGGCAGAGGAGACAGATAACGTCTGCTTGGTAAGATGATGGCAGAGTGGGTGGGACTCAGTGCTGAGAGAGAGCAGCAGTCACTTCAAGGGGTGGTGGGCCGTCTCTTGAGATTCATGGCTGTCCCTGTGGTGGACAGCACTTGGCAGCTGGCCAGCGCCCAGCAAAAACCTGCTGGACGATTGCCCAGGCTCCCTTTTCAGTGTGGCGTGATGAAGCAGTCCCACTTTCAAACTCAGGTGACCTGCCAGGGTCACCTACCTAGTTAAGAGTGCCAAGCTTCTACCCTCTTATCTGAAGTGCAATAAGGTCTGCATGTCAGAATCCCTGAGTCCCCGAGAACTGCTCCCTCGGGAGCAGGGAATGCCGGGAGCAGGTACAGTGAACAGGCGACTACCCTGGTGAAAAGCTGTGACCTTGGTCCAGTGCCTGTCCCTGGGGCAGTGTGACTCTGGACGGGCGGGAGCAGCCTGAAGGAAGGATGGAGACAAACGAGAGAAGAGAGGGGGAAACGTGACCAGGCCAGGCCAGAAAGGAAAGGAATATCGACATTCGAGGAACGAGAATGAGGGAGGGGATCTAGACTAAGTGCTGGAAAGGGCAAGACAATGAAATAGGAGCCGGGGAGCTACGGGCAAACTGCAGAAGTCTACGGATAATTTCTATAATAAAAGGAAAGGTCATTTGGTTGGAATTTGCGGTGGTAGCTCCCTAGATCAGACAGGGTGATCCTAGACAGACTCATAGCTGGAGAACAGGACGACAGCTAAGGGAGGGGGGAGGTTAGGAGGTGGAGGGATTGAGCAAAAAGGACTCATGGACTCGGACAACGGCGTGGTGATTGCTGGCAGGCAGGGAGGGGGGCCTAAGGGGACTAAAGGGTGATGGAAGAAAAAATATAATAAAAAAAGAAAAAGTATCCTACCGCCCACCCCATTTCCAGAGAAAACCAGTGAAAAACATTTTGAGTAAATTACATAGATATAGTTTAAATATTTTATTTATTTATTTTTAGAGAAAGGGAAGGGAAGGAGAAGTGGGAGAGAAACATCAATGTGTGGTTGCCTCTCATGTATCCCCTACTGGGGACCTGGCCTGCAACCCAGGCATGTGCCCTGACTGGGAATCAAACTGATGACCCTTTGCTTCACAAGCCCGTGCTCAATCCACTGAGCTACACCAGCCAGGGCGAATAGATATATTTAAAGAGAAACGTTTTTTTAGACTCGAAGCCTTCTGCCCTTTGTCACAGGGGGACCCAGGAAACCCACTGATGTGCCAGCTACAGAAGTCGTATCTGTGGGTGCTGAGAGGAATCCTGACCGAAGGGGGTGAGCGGTGCCCCGGCCTGTTTCTGTACGTCAGGATAGAAGACTACAGCAACTGGATCGCATCCAAGACTGAGACGCCCAGCCTCCCCCTGTCTGCCATGTACCACTGGGAGAACTCGGCGCCTGTCTACAGCTACTTGCCACCTGCCACCGTGACACAGAAAAAACATTCTGGGCTGGACCGAGTTACGTGGACCCAAACTCAACTCCACGGAAACGGAAGCACCCAAACTCAACTCCACGGAAACGGAAGCACCCAAACTCAACTCCACGGAAACGGAAGCACCACGGCCACAACTTCAGAGCCAGAAGAGAGCTCCGTAGAGAGTGAAGAATTGCAGGGGAAGAGCATAAGGGAGATGGGCAGCCTTTCCGAGGAGGCCGCGAAGTCCGAGTACTTTGACTACTACCGGGAGCAGCAGGCTGGGGAGGGTGGGTCTCCCTCAGGTCAGGACAGGTTCCTGGAGCCCCGAGAAATCATCTTGTTTTCCTTTGTGTTTTCTTTTGTCATGGTGTAGAGTCTAGGAGCTGGCCCTCCAGCTCGGGATGCTGAGGGCCAGGTATTCACTGCGCTGTTTTGGTGTCTATTTTTGATCGCCACACACCTGGGCAGCTGCGGGCAGGCCCGTGGCTCTCCCTCCTCTGTCCCACTTGCCCATGCGGGACGGTCACTTTCATTTGTGCTCGTGAACTAAATGTAGGCTAACAAGTGGAACCATTCAAGTGCCCTGTGATTCTTTCAGGGTAAGGGTTCAAAGGGCCAGGTGGTGAGAACACCTGCCACGCACAGGTAACTGTGGCCTGGGAGGTGGCCGTCAGCCTGGATGGAGAGTCGGGGACACCAGCCAGCTCAGGAACAGTGAGAGGACCCCGTGACTAGAACAGAGTTGATTATTTTAATGGATCTCTTTTTGGTCTGCAGCCGTGACCTGCCTCTGGCTATTTCCCAGTGGAGCCAATGGCCAGCAACTGCTCACTTGTGGTTTTCATTTTATTCCAGTCCTTGCGGAAGCCTTTTAAGGACATCTGCAAAAAGGAAAGGGGGAGAGGAGAGGATGTCACTTGGGAAAAATGACTGACTACTCAGAACACAGCCCCATCCAGCCTTGGGGTGGTGCTGTGCACGCTGCAGGGAGTGGCTACCCCGGGGCATCTGGGAGTTTCTCCTGGAGAGCGTGTTTCTGTTCAGTGAAGTGAGAAGCTGCAGGTCCCTGCTGGGACCACTGCTACTTCTCCACCTCAGGTCTGATGGGCCCGAGTGTGGGTCCCGATCGATTCCCTTCCGCAGAGCCAGGGTCCGGAAACGAGAGTGCCATGCTCCGAGACCGGTGTCTCAGGTGCGCTCAGGGAAACCTGGGCCCCGGTGGCAGTCTGTGCTTCCCCTTTTTCTGAGGGCAGCGCATTTTTGCACTTTCCCATTTCTCTTCTGCAGCTCACCAGGGCCACAGTGCTGCTCTGCGTACTGTGTCCCAGGGAGAGACTGCGGGGTCATTCAGGAACAAAAAGACCTGGAGACTATGTAAATGCATGGAATCAGGTTCTGGGTGACACTAAAAATCCATGATTATCCCAGTTTTTCAAAAACTGGCTTCATGTATAGAGTAGCAATGGCTAAATGATGAGCAGAAGGATTAAGAAGCTTCCAGAATTCATCATGAAAGCAAGGAACTAAAAACACACCGTTCTTACAGCGTCTCTTGTGATAACGTGACAAGACCTTGCCCCTAACAATGAAAAAGAAGGATTAAAAAAAGTCATGCTTTATTTTGGTGTAAGAGTCGAGACAACTCCGGTTGTCTCATGTCCAAACAAACACCTGTATCCTTAGCTTGAAAAACAAAATCCCAACAAAAAAACTTGAAGGCCACGAAAGACCGCCTACCTGAGGGCATCTCTGTGACTTACCTCTGCAATCTCCACCTTCCTTTCCCACACCCTGATGGTCTTCTCCAGGTCTCCGTTCAGGACCTTCTCCCTGACATACTGCATCACCGGCGGCACTCGGAACTCGCTCAGCTGCCTCCGGAGCTTCTTGTTCACGGCCTCGTCTTTGGCCCGGTCCTGGGTTGGGAGGGATCAGTTAAACCCCAGGATCCCTGGTGCTTCAGGCCTGCTGGGACTTGCTGGCCCTCCCATCTCTACCCATTTTTAGTATAGTTCTAAAATCAGTGTTTAAGTTTTCAAAGCAGTGAAGGGAATCACAAAAATTCTGATTTTTTAACAAACAGGTTGTGATGTTTTCTTCCAGTTCCGAAACACTAACTATAACCTAAAAGTCTCTTTCCCTTCCTTTCTTCCTTCCGAACTATGTTTTTTTTTAATGTTGATTTCTTAGGTTTCACTTTTTCTTCTTTTCATACAATTATATATTTAAGTACATTTTGATTTGCTCTGTCTCAGTTCACTTTCCTATTTCTTTTTGTTTGCTTGTTTTTGTCACAAATCCACATTAAAAACAATAGCACAAGTAAAGGTAATTAGGTGGTGATTTTTTATAAAAGACCGTATTCTCCTCACTGATTGAAGAAGCGGTTCATAACATAATGTGCATGTAATTGTCCCGGGGGCCTATACGTATAAAGAGGCAGCGTGTTTGACAACAACAGCCCAAAGGAGGAGGTGGAAGCAACGCCGTGTTGGAGTGAGGACATAGCACCGGAAGGTCGCTCCCATCCACAGGAGGAAATGCAGAGAGCGATGGACGGTCACTGGGAAGGTCAGTACAACACTATAAATACGCTCCATCTCTGTCCGTCCTTTCAGCTTCTGGGCCCCTTCCTCACATCATTTACAATATTTTTTAAAATTTTATTAATTTATTTTTAGAGAAATAGAGGAAGGGAGGGAGAAAGGGAGAGAAACTTCAATGTGTGGTTGCCTCTCACGTGGCCCCTACTGCGGCACTTGGCCTGCAACCCAGGCACGTGCCCTGACTGGGAATCAAACTGGTGATGCTTTGGTTTGCAGGCTGTGCTCAATCCACTGAGCCACACCAGCCAGGGCTACATCATTTACAATATTGACTCAGAACGGATCATAAACCTAAATGTAAGACCTGTAAAACTCCTGAAGACACAGGAGTAAATCTTCACAATCTTGGGTTAGGGAATGATTTCTTAGCTATAATGCCAAAAGCACAAGTGCACAAGAAAAAAAAAAATAGATGAATTGGACTGGGTCAAAATGGAAAACTTTTGTGCTGCAAACAGTAAGTACCATTAAGAACGTGAAAAGAAAACCTATGGAATGGGAGAAAATACAGGCTGGGGCAAAAGTAGGTTTACAGCCCTGGGGGGTGTGGCTCAGTGGATTGAGCGCCAGCCTGCAAAACAAAGGGTCGCTGATTCGATTCCCAGTCAGGGCACATCCCTGGGTTTTGGGCCAGGTCCCCTGTAGGGGGTGCACAAGAGACAACCACACATTGATGTTTCTCTCCCTCTCTTTATCTCTCCCTTCCTCTCTCTAAAAAAGAAGTCTTTTATTTTTTTAAAGATTTTATTTATTTTTTAGAGAAAGGAAGGGAGGAAGAAAGAGGGAGAAACATCAGTGTATGGTTGCCTCTCCTGTGTCCGCCACTGGGCACCTGGCCCGCAACCCAGGAATATGCCCTGACTGGGAATCAAACCGGTGACCCTCTGCTTCACAGGCCCGTGCTCAATTCACTGAGCTACACCAACCAGCGCAAAAATAAGGAAGTCTTTTTTTAAAAAGTAGGTTTACAGTTGTTTGTATGGAAAATAATACAGTAGTTAATAAATGATAATACAAGAATGAACTCTGTTCCATGTACCCGCGACTGTAAACCTACTTTGGCCCCATCCTGTATTTGCAAGTCATATATCTGATAAGGGACATGAGTCCAGAATACATAAAGGATTCTTACAACTCAATGACAAAAAGATAAATAACAATTACAAACTGGGCAAAGGCCCTGGCTGGCGTAGTTCAGTGGATTGAGTGCAGGCCGCAAATCAAAGGGTGGCTTGTGGACCACTCTGCCTGGTTTCAGGAATTGTAACCCTAACCACCCCCACTTCATGGCTAAGGCTGGGAGTGACCTCCAGAATCCAAGCCACAGGAGACAGAGCTTGTCTCTGGTAGCAGATGCTGCCTCAGTTTCCTCCGTGCCCCCAAAGCATGGGCAGAAGTCCAGGACCGGTGAGTCTCCTCACAGCGGGGAGCAACCTAAGCCAGACTCAATCACTTGGGAGGCCATCATGGAAGGACCTGGGGAGGGGTGGCTGCAACAAAGAGCAAGCAATTGACTCATACCTCCAGGCTATGTAACTTAGCCAAGTCCCCATGTCCTCTGGGAGAAGCGCTTCCTGGCTCTGATCCACTTAAGCCTGAACACCTGATGGGGAGACGTGCAGCTCCTTGCCTTGCTAGACCGTGTTCTGGGGGAAAATCTGGCATCACAAAAACTTCCTGATAAACCTGTGAAATCAGCTGTGCAAAGAGTGTCTTCATTCATGTGATAAGGGTCCAAGAGGAAATGAGTATGTCTCCCAAAATTTCGGCAACCCCCTTTCCTGACAGACACTCAGACTAAGCCCTCAGATTTCTTTGAAATGTTATCTACTGTTCGATCCTTGCTGCCTGTATTCCTGTGTGTTACAACCCAATAAAAGCCCCTGGAAAAGGGGGCTCAACACCTTTTTCCCCTGAAAAACTGGCCACTGTTCACAGCCCTTCCCTTTTGAGTGATCAGCCACCTCTCCTCCCCAAGCAGATCATATCTTGTCTTATTTACTTTCATCCGTGGCGGACGAGGGGACTTGAGAGAAAAGTCGCCCCCGCAGTGGCTGGTTCCGTTTCCGGTCAGGGCACGTGCCTGGGTTTCCGGCCAGGTCCCCAGTGAGGGGGCACGTGAGAAGCAACCACACATTGATGTTTCTATCCCTCTCTTTCTCCTTCTCTTCCCCTCTCTCTAAAAATTAAGTCTTTAAAAAACCGGGCAAAGGACTTGAATAGACATTTCTCCAGAAAAGATAGGTAAGTAGACAATAAGCACATGAAAAGATGCTCAATGTCGTGAGTCGTTAGGGAAATTCAAATCAAAACCACGGTGGGACATCACTTCACATGAGCTAGGGCAGCCATTAAAAAAATAACAACAACAAAAAGAACCCCTGAAAATGAGAGTTGGTGAGGATGTGCCAGAATTGGAGCTCTCGCGCCTACAGCACTGGTGGGAATGTAAAATGGTACAGCCACTTTGCAAAAACAGTTTGGCGCAGGTTCTGTGAATGTTAAACACAGAGTTACCGTATATATAACCCACGAGTCTACTCGTAGCTATATATTCCAGAGAAAAGAAAACAAGACCTACATTCACACAAAAACTTGTATGTAAATGCCCGCAGCAGCATTATTCCTAACTGCCAAAAAGGGGAAGAACCCAAGCATCGTCCATCAGCTGACGGTGGGCACGGCGGGGCCTGTCTGCGCAAGGAAAGTATTTCTTTTTCAGCCCAAGAAGGAAAGTGCGGGCGCGTGCTGTAACCTGAATATTAAACATATTCGAATTAAATAAGCAGTCACAAAAGAGCACATATTTTATGTTCCCTTTTATAGGAAATGTCCAGAAAAGGCGAGTTCACTGAGACAGAAAGCGGCTTCGTGGTCGCCTAGGGCTGGAGGGGGAGAGGGGCGTGGGGAGCGGTTTCTAGTGGGTGCAGGGTTTCTTTCTGGGGTGACAAGATGGCCTTCAGTTCCTGTCCTGGCAGTTACACAACTCTGTGACTATACCAGAAACCACTAAAATGAACATCTTAAGTGGATGGATTACATGGTGTATGTACTGTACCCAATAGAGCAGTTGGAAAAGTTTACGAGAAAAGAGAACTATAGTAAGCAGTGCATGCCAGGCTTTTAAGGATGGACGTCCTGTTTTATCTGTCCTCTCAGAAGTGTCAGCGCAAACAAACACGCAGGAATCCCGCGAGGCGAGAGCACACGGACCTTCGCTTTAACTTCGTCACTCTGAGCTGAGACTGGCTCCTTGGCAGAGGAGCATGTCGGCTCAGACGTAATAATCCTGTGGCACTTGGCTGTGGCAGGCAGGTTCGGGGCCCCAGCCACTGCTGGGGACACTGCAGGCCCATTTGAGATGAAGACACCAATGACTGCGCTCACCGCTTTAGAGGATGACAAAGCATCGCCCTGTCCCTGTCTGATCGCCACAAGGGCTGTGGTGGCTATTTTACAGATGTGGAAACTGAGTCCTAATTCCAAATCCTGAACCCGGCAACACCAAGCCTGATGCCAGGCCTTCCGACCACAAGTCCAATGCTCACTTTATCGCCCACTTTCCCGAAAAAGCCTCTTCAGGTCGCATCCTAGGGGCGCTTAACTTGCAGAAACTCAATTCCATGTGCCCAGCAAGTCGATGAGAGCACTAAGTCACGAGGTAAGCGATGCCACACGTCATTTCGCACGGTGACCACAGGGCCCGGAGGGAGCCCAGGACACGGGTCGCAGGTCTACCGCCCAAGCACCTGCTGTGCCGACTGAGAGTTACAGGGCAAAAAATCCCTCTCCCCCGACATAGAACTGTATTTGGTGCGTGAGCTTTTTCTCCTATCAGTTACCTTACTATGTGCATCATACAGTTTTTGCAAGGATGTATGTACAGCACTTCATATATTTTATTTTGTGGGTCATTTAAGGAATTCTTCAGGAGTATTTGGACTCATGTGTTTGCGACCTTATAAGCTAACTCCAGAACCTAGCCCAGCAGTGAAATGCAACACTGTTACGCGGGGAGTCTCCAGGAGCTGCTTCCTCCTCCGATAGCCCAGGGGTCTCTCGGGTTTTAGGGGTCTAGGCGTGGACGTCGCTGGACAGCGACTCAAGCCCTTGTGGGCAAATACCAGAAACAGCACAGTTTACTCTCTCTTACCCCCTCTACTTGTAGGATTTCTCTTTCGATTTTTTCAAGTAACTCCTTTCTCTGCAAGATCTCCTTTCCCAGACTGATGGACATTTCCATTGCTTGGTTTAGCCTGGTCTGGAATATATAACAACATAGCAAGTCTTGAGCAAAAATGATCAGTCAGAATGATACAAAGGCTAGACGGCTCTTTACTGAGCAGGAGAAGAGCAGGGACCTACGGGAACTTGGGCCCACCCTTCTCCCAGCCGCCCAGGTTTCCAGATTCTGGTGTCTAGGTGGTGGGGGACAAGGGAACCCCAGGAGTCTTGTCCTCACCAGCAGAGTGGCTGGACACCAGGGCCCAAATCCCACCCAACACTTTACTAAGAGAAACTTTGGGCAAGTTTTAGAACCTCCCTAAACTTGGTCTGGTCACCTCAGAGGCTTGTGGAGAAGTTCGATCCTGACTAAGTGTGCTCAGCACAGCGCCTGACATGTGGGGAGCACAGGGGAGGGGGCTGATTCTTAGGGAGGTGAAGTGATTCCCCCAGGGTCAAACTGAGACGAGGAGCCAAGATTGGCACGCACACAGCATCATCTCACAGTCCACCAGCCCCGCCACTGTCCACCACGTGGACCTGGGCTTGGCCTGCTGCTGTTGGAGGGATGCTGCAGGACTGCCCCGCTGCTTCCTGGGGTGCTGTCTGCAGCCCCCCACCCCACCCCAGGCCCATGCTCCTTAGAGTTGTCCCCTTTGAACTCCCACCTCCCGGAGGAAAAGAGTCATCCTGGAGGAGCTGGGATGGGGTCTGCTCAGATGAGAAGGGAGCTCGCTCAACAGACCCAGAGAACCTGGCCACCCGGTGCCCCGCACTGGTTGGGGAGACCATGCAGGCCCCCCCGCCCGGCCCAGGGGGCAGCTTGCTGGCTAGACAGAGGTGCAAGAAGAAACATAAAACTGCCCCTGGGCCAAGCGCTAAGAATGTGAGTCCAGTGGTCAGGAAGGTCTCCCTGGGGAAAGGGGTGATGGGAAGAGCTGAAAGGTCAAGTCAAGTATGTCTAGGTAAAAGGGAAGGGAGGACCATCCCAAGCCAAGAAGAGCCTGAAAGGAGCTGGGAGGGAGGCAGACACTGGAGCAGAGCAACCCTCCAAAATTGGCTGGGGGAGGGGGCAGGGCAGGACTTCATGATAAACCGGCGGTTCAGAAGGGAAGGAAGGAGCGGAAGGAAGACATTCCCCGACCGCGTACTGCACAGCTCACCGTCGTTCTGTCTCCCTTTCCCCCAGGGCTTGCTGCGTCCCCCTTAGAGCAACAGGCAGGAAAGAAGGGACTGCAAGGAGTGGCTGACTCTGGCGGGGAAGGGCCTTTGAGAAGATGTGAGCGGAGCTGCATGTGATTCTGAGCAGGATGTTGGTGTGGCATCTGGACACAGTGTGACTGGATTTTCTGCCCAGGGAGGGTCCTGTGAAGCTAAAATCAAGGTATTGGCCAGGACTGTGGGTCTCATTTGGGGGTGGGGTCCTCCTCCAAGGTCATGGGTTGTTGGCAGAAGGCATTTCCTTGAAGTTGCAAGACTTAGGTCCCTGTTTTCTTTCCATCTGTCAGCAGGGATGGCCCTCAGCCCCTCGAGGCCACCTTTAGGTCCCTTCCACGTGGCCCCCTCTATCTCCAAGCCAGCAGTGGGGAACTTCTCCCCCAGCAAACCTCATTCCTGCTTCAAATCTGCAACTTCCTCTTCCAGAAAAAACTCTCTGCTTTCAGATTCCTGCGATTACTTCAGGCCCACCCAGGTAATCTCCCTGTGAACAGAATGCATCCCATCCACAGCCCCGGGGATGGGGCAGGGTACAAAAACTGGGGGTGGGGAGTCTTGGGGAACATCTTAGAATTCTCCCTACCACAAGGCACTACCAGTTCATTGTCAGTTAAGAGTGACATGGGAGGGTGAAGTGGGCAAAGGGGGTCAAATATGTGGTAACGAAAGGAACCCAGATTCTGAGTGGTGAGCACACAACAGTGTATACAGATGTTGAATTATAATGTACACCTGAAATTGGTAAGTTATTAACCAGTGTTGCTCCAATAAACTAAATTTTAAAACTCAGGTAATTAATATCTACTAAACACTCTCAAATCATTCAATCTATAAGTGTCTTTTAAGAAGCGACACATTGAAGCAGTAGCCAAATGATTATTACGTGCCAGACTGTGGGCACAGAGTGGAGGACAAGGCGTCCCTGACCCCGTGACCAAGGCTCCCCCACCAGACTCACAGGAAAGAGGAGAGAGTGTGCCTCCCTCCCAGCTGTGCCCTCCGCACTAACCCTGTGCCGGGCATGCGGCCGGTCCTCGGCACACTTGGTAGTACAGGAAGTTATTCTGCATGGTTTTAAAAAATTTCTATCTTATTTACTTTTTTAGAGAGAGGGGAAGGGAGGGAGAAAGAGAGCAGAGAGACACTGATGTGCAAGAGATACATCAGTCAATTCCCTCTCCTCAGCCCCCAACTGGGGAATGCGGCCAGCAACCCAGGCATGTCAAACCAGTGACCTTTCGGGTCTCAGGCCGGCACTCAATCCCCTGAGCCACACCGGCCAGAGCTGCATGTTTTCAATAAGATCTCACACTTGGGTGTTTAATACATATATATATATATATATATATCAGTAGTCCCCCCTGTGACCTATCTTCCCATCCCCTACACACACACAGGAACCATGCAGGCCATTCGACAATAGCAGCTAAGCACCTGCTTTGGCCAGGCACTGTCCTTGGTGCTGGGGACCCAGCACAGAGCAGCCAGAGCCCTGAGGCACAAGAACGCACCTCCCAGAGGTGAGGCATCTGCCCACAGCTCACTGCTGTTCTGCCTCCCTTTCCCCCAGGGCTCACTGCGTCCCTCTTAGGGCTCCCGTGAACATCTCCATCATCTGCTTACCATTATTTGCAAGCACGTTGGCCCCTGGGATGCAGACTGAAATGACTCCCGTTCTGCCCACTGTGGCCTGTGTCCCTGCTGGCTCGGGTGTTGCAAACAGCCTGTGCTAGAGAGTTCGGGCCCTGGGGCCTGGCTGTTTTATTCTGTAAACCAGTAGCTCCACTCCGAACCCCTGGCTTTTCCCCACAAGACCAGACAGGCCCTGTGTTGATTCCGTGGGATAAGGTCCAATGTGCTGTAACCTCATGCAGCCCAGCTCCGCGGCCAACACGGGCCTGGGAATCATGAGCACTGGCTTCATCTTTAAATAACAGAGATCAGAAAAGCTAACCACTGAGGAGCTAAGTTCCAAATGGATGACCTGCTGGGTGTTTAGCCACGTGGATTTCAGGATGCCAGCACAGTGTTGTCCCCATACTTTGTGCCAGGACAAGACAGCTGGGTTGGGTGGGACACAGGCTGGACTGGGACCCCGAGCTCTGTCGCAAACTTGTTGTTTGCATGTGGCAGTTACTCTGCCTCTCTGGGCCTCTGGCTTTTCACTTGTAAAAGGAAAATACTGGACAAACATTAGCCTCGACTTTACACATTCAAACCCACAGTTTCAAATGACGCCGTGTGCGCCAAATCAAGCCCATCTGTAAGCCACCGATGTCTGTAGCCACTGCCGCCACCCGGGCCCCAGGCCAGGGAGCAGCAAGCCTGCTCTGTGAGAGGCCAGACAGATAGTAAAGATGTTAGGCTTTGCAGGCCAAGAGGCAAAACTGAGGCTACTGTGTAGTTAGGTGTATGAACAAGAGGAAAAAACCAAACTTCCACAAAGGTTTTGTTGAACCAATTTCAACTATAACAATTAAGTTCACTAATTTGGACTACAGATGTACTAAGAAGAACAGGGTTACCGGAGGAGAAACCGATGTTGCTCAGTCAGGTTTCAAAGGTAGTGTTCTCTGTCAGACAGGTTGCAAATGTTCTGTATGAACCATTCTTAGCTTCCCAGCTGGTGGGCAGGACACACCGGCCAGATTAGCTGACCGCTACTGCATCAGCCCGGCGCTAGCCGGGTGATCGGACAGGCTAGTCTGCTGGGACAGGGCCTGTTCGTGCCTGTGGTCCTCCTTCGTTATTAATAGTGCTTCTTTTTCTCCAAAACGGGTTGTGTTCAGACGAGGGATTATGTAGTAGTTTTCTGATTTGCAGCTAAGATGGTTTTCCTTCGAAGGGTTTTAAGCGGGGAAGTGCATATTATATTCCCAAATAAAACAGGGCCCTGCATGTGGTAGTTCTCGAAACTCACTGTGCGTGAAAATCATCTGGGGAGTTTAAAAAAAAAGATTCATGGCCCTCACCCCCTAATTCAATTGGTCAGGGTGAGACTAGGATGTCCTTACAGCTTTTGAAGAAGTGAAAGCTTCCCCGTGGTTCTAACGTGCAGCTGGGGTGGTGGGAACGTTCCGAGTGTTTCAGGAGACGTGGGTCTCACGGCAGAACTCGGGGAACAGTGGGAGAGTGCAGGGTGTCTAAGCCCTTGTGGGAACCTCACTGTGGCCAGGAAAGGGGGGCGGGAAGCCCCCCAGGGACCTGGGCACCAGGGAGGACCTTACCTTATAAGAATTGAGGACCTGCTGGGTGGTTCCAGATGACAGCTTGAGGTGGATCAGCTCTTGATTCTTCAAGTCAATCGTCTCTAAAAACTGAGCGTTCTCTATCTTCAGCTGCTGAAAATCCACTTCGTGGAGGGCGTCACCCACCTCTTCCTTCTACAGCTCGGGAATAGGAGAGAAATGATATGAGGCTGTGACGTCACAGGCTATGGGAGCCGCACCTGTGTCTCCCATCCTGCCTCTCCAGGTGACCTTTGGGGACTCAGGCATCATTCAGTCACTCGACACACATGGATTGCAGATCTGCTGGGTGCCAGGCCCTGGGGACAGAGATCTGAGTAAACGGGACACTCCCGGGCCCCAAGGAGCGCCTAAGCAATGCGGGTTCCCAGGGCTCCAGGTGGGGCCGCTCAGAACAGGTTGGAGCAAGAGCACCGCTTCCCCGGTGGGAGGTGGTGGTCCTCTGAGTGCAGCTGAGGCCCGGCATCACCTCCCCTGAGCCGACTTTATCAGATAGCCTAGGGCCAAGCCACCCGGTGCTTGTGGATCGCAGGGGATCAAATCAGAGGATCTGACATCTGTCCCTAGTCACTTTCGGTTGTTAAAGCTGTCCCTGTTTTTTGAGTCTTTTGAGATCCCAAGTCGACCAAGCAATAGTGTCCCTGGACACGTGCCCTCAAGTGCCCAAATTCAAGCTCGTAACAAAAACGCTGAGCTAAGAGAGGGTGGAGCCACACGGGCACATGCTGGAGCCTTCCATGTCCACGTCTCTGCCTTCCGCCGAGAGCCTACCGGGCCAGCTGTTCAAAGACACGCCGGAAACACTGCCACCATACCACCCAGGCCACGTCCCCCTTAAGGATCAGCAAGTACGACGGGAGGGGCTTTGAAATTCCAGCCAATCCAACCACAGGATTACCGGCTCAGTAACTGCATAGGTTTTCTCAGCTGCTGTAACAAAAGACCACACTCACATCGGCTTATAAAACAACACAAATCTATCGTCTTACAGCTCAGGAGGGCAGAGCCAGCGATCGTTCTCTGGGCGAAAATTGAGAATTTTATTGAACTTGTGGCCAGGCGGCACTCCTACTGCAGGCTCTCAGGAGACTCTGTTTCCTGGTCGTGGGCAAGTTTCTAGGGGCTGCCTGCGTTCCTGGGTTTGTGACTCCTTCCCCAGTCTCCAAAGAACGTCACTCCGAGCTCTGTCTCTGTTATCACACCTCTCTCCGCTCCTGCCTGCCTCAGAAGGAGGCTACCCTGTGACTACCCTGAACCCACCTGGGGAATCCGAGATTGTCTCTCTGTCTCGAGGTCCTCGACCGAGTCACATCTGCAAGACCCTTTGGCCGTGTGAGGCAACACATTCAGATTCCAGGGACTAAGACATGGTGTCTTCGGGTTGGACGCTGTCCCATCTACCGCAGTAAACTTAAAAAAAGAAAGAGCCACGTACCTGCCTCAATTGTAAAAGCATCTTTTTCCTCTGGACTTTGAGAGAAACATTTTTCAAACATAATTTCTCCTTCATGTGATCCTAAAAAGAAAAGTGAATTTTAAGCCGTTTCTCTTCTTCTTCCCTGTTGGTTTGAAAAGCTGGTTAAGTCTGTGGCTACAAACCAAACCTTGAGCCCTGACAATCAGCCACTTATTTTAAGGTTTTTGGGTTTTTTAACATCTACCCAAGCTGGTGCTGCTGTAACATTTCATTCATGATCGAGAAACAGAGCAAGTGGTGCCTGCTCCATGCAAAAGTTCCATCGTTTGTAAATTCAAGATAATTTGGGTACAGGGGCCTTTCCTGACAAAAGGACCTTATGATTCTTTGGTCTTTTGTTCTCTTGGTAGTTGATATAGTTTTTATGGCCTATACACCTGAGGGTTAGTAAGCCTACCTACCTCCAGGGTCTAAAGCTTGATGTACTACAAAATCTTTGGAAGTGAAGGAGCATTTTATGCCTCATTCTTGTTTGTTTGTTTTTTAAACAAGTTTTTAAAAATATTTTATTTATTTATTTTTAGATGGGGGGAAGGGAGGGAGAAAGAGAGGAAGAAAAATACCAGTGAGTGGTTGCTGCTTGCAACCCAGGCATGGGCTCCGACTGGGAATTCAACCAGTGACCCGTTGGTTCCCAAGCTGGTGCTCAGTCCACTGAGCCACACCAGCCAGGGCATTGTTTTTATAATAATGGAACTCAAAGAGCTTGAGATGTACCTGTCCCATGCCACATAGTCACCTGACTAGATAGGTTCACACATTTCTCAAGAAAACATATTGGATCTTGAAACAAATAGCAACAATAAAAAAGAAGTCATCTAGCTGAGATACTATTGATATTCAGTCTGCCTGCTTGATTTTACCCTTGATGAACTCACATTTTAAGACACACGCACAGCTCTGGTTGGCGTGGCCTGGCAGATTGAGTGGTGGCCTCACCGGTTCAATTCCTAGTCAGGGCATATGTCTGGGTTGTGGGCTAGGTCCCCAGTTGGGGGCATGCGAGAGGCAACCGATTTATATATCTTCCATATCAATATTTCTCTCCCTCCTTCCCTTCCCAGCTCTCTAAAATAAATAAATACAATCTTAAAAAAAAAAGACACACACTTTGGGAGAAGTTAAAACTCCCCCTGTGTGCACAACATGGTCGGTGGGCCAGCTGGAGTGGGGCCACCTCCCGTGGGGCCTCCCTGGGTCATCGTTCTATGACTGTCTTCCCCCTCCCTAAGCCCTGACCTTCTGTCGACTCACCCTCCGGCGGTTCATGTCCTCAAAGTACTTCATCACTTTCTGAGTGGCCAAAATACTCCCTTTCTTCTTGGTGATGGTTTTCAGAATATCTTTTTCAAACTCGTGCACTTCTTTCTGAACATCAGCCCACCGAATTTCAGCTTCCTCGATGATAGCCTGGGGGGCCGGCACAGAGGGGGAGCGGTTTCCAAAAATTCCCAAGGGTTTAACCCTGTAAAGAAACCTCTGTTCTCAGGCCCCTTTGTGTCTCAGTATATAACGTTTCTTCTTAGTCTTAGAAATACATCCTTACGATACAAATTTGACTATATGAATATTATTATTTCAAAGCATGCCTTGAGAAAGTTAATAGTTTCCATAAAAAGGGGGCAAACAGAAACAGGGCCACAGGTATCATTATAAACATGTATTTTCACATCTGGAGTATTATTTATCCATTAACAATGATACAGTGTCATATAATACAATATAATATAAAAATGTCCGGAAGGCTATATACCAGCTCACTGACCAAAGTCACATCAGGAGAGATGGATTAGCAGGGAGTCAGAGAAGCACCCCTACTAGATACTTCTGTAATTTGAAAAGAAAATGTTATAAATGAACCTATATATTGACATGAAAAGACATTATTCAATGAAAACACAGTTGATAAGATGATATCTTTTTATAAAGAATTTCACATATGCACATGAACATGTGTTTTCAGATGTGCTTCTTCTAGCCTACCTGTGTGTGTAAATTGTGCTGCAACACACGGGGCTTATCTTTGAATAAGGACACACAGAAATGCATATGACTTTAAAGGGTAAAATGAGAAGTCAGCCGCAGCTGCAGAGCAAACCACGTGCGCCCAGAGGCAGAAGCACCTTCCTTCACCGCCAGGCCTCGGGCCCCGGGCTCTCCCCTCCCCACACGGAGATGACGCGTGTGCTTCTTCGTGCGCCCCCGTTTCGGACGGGGCAGAAAGACACACTTTTCCCACGGCGTGGCTCTCAAACACCAGCCAACGGCTCCGTCCCATGGGCACCCTCCTTCCCAGTGACGCCTCTCCTCCGGAGGAACACGACCGGTCTGTCTCCAAAGAGACACGGACCATCGTCGGGCACGTGGAGGGCGGCTTGGGGGCTTTTCCACCAAGTCGCTGACTTAAACCTCAAGCTCCTTGTATTATCAAGAAATTATTATGCATTTTTAAGTACACAGGGCTTCACCACACTACCCTCTCTCCATTTGTATATTTTTGAAATTTTCCTTTTCGAAAAGTTTAAAATGTGTTGCCTCCCCAGACAGGCAGTAAGTTCCTTAAAGGTAGTTCCTTAGTGTGTCTTAATCCACTTATATTCCTTTTCAAAGTGCCAGCAGTTAGGAGAACATACATAAGACGCTATGCCCGGCGCATAGTAAGTGCTGTTTAAGTATTTGATCTGTTTTTTAAATACATCTAATGAGCTGCAGAATCCAAAGCCCTGGTGCTCCCTGGCGGGTAGAAGCGGGGAGCCCACACGGGACGCCCTGCCGAGAGAAAGGTTTACCTCGTGATACTGCAGGTCCCGTTCAGCGTTGGCCCGCAGGTGCCTTATCTCGTCCTTCATGTCCTCCAGCTCCTTTTGTACAAGCTCGCACTTCTGGTCAACACTCAGGCGGGCCGTGTGCTCGATGCCCGAGCGCGATTTGGACCTAGGTCTGCCCCGCATCTGCAGCTCAAGAGAAACACAGCTACTGTCAAGGAGGAGTCTGTGATAAAGCAGCCGGAGGCGGCCATCAGAATGACTGCTCGGACCTGCTGGAAATGAGGTGGACGACAGCCGGAGAAAACATATTCAACATGAAAGGATTGGGATGTTAAGTCTGAGCTGACGCCTATCTCACTAGTCAACCTGAGGTCTGAGCTAAGGTTTGACAAGGAACTCATGTATTTATTAAAAATAAATAAAGGAAAGTGTCTCGAGCCCTGGCTGGTGTAGCTCAGTGGATTGAATGCAGGCCTGCGATCCAGAGGATCGCGGTTGGACTCCCAGGCAGGGCACATGCCTGGGTTGCAGGCCAGTTCCCAGCAGGGGATGCACGAGAGGCAACCATACATTGATATTTCTCTCCCTTTCTCCTTCCCTTCCCCTCTAAAGATAAATAAATAAAATCTTTAAAGAAGAAAGTGTCTCGAGGTTGGAGAGACCATGAACCTGCTATGGACCAGCGTGCAAATCAGTGTCAGGGGAAGTCGGGAGCTTGCGGCTTCCTGAACTGAACACAGAAGAGAAATGGCATCTGGGGGTACGGTGTTCATTCCAAAACAAACAAACAAACAAACAGACCCAGTGTTTGGATTTCCTGTGCATGTAAGCCACAAGTCATAAGCAGGTGGCCCAGAAAATATGTGGACCTCACAATGGGGTCGTTGGGCCCTCCAAGGACAGGCTTGCGCACAATTTTAAATTAAAAAAATTAACCCCCCACCCAAATAGCTCAGATTTCCAGCTTCTCTTGAAAAACCAACTACTCTGGCAACATCAAGCCACTTGGCTGGCCCTTTTAAATGAGGAAGGAACTTTCTGGTGCACACACCAGGCCCCCTTCACCTCGTCACGTGGCTGGCTGTGCCTTGTAAACGGAGTCTCCCAATTGAAGGGCATTATTTCAAACACGCTAAGATATTCTGGGAGAGTCAACCCACTATTCAATGAATGTGATTCACTTTACACGGACTTGAGAGAGAAACCTTGAAGGGGAAGGAAGAATCAAAATAAGGACAGAGGCAAAGCCATATGTCACTGCCAAAGAAGTCACACCAAAGGCAGATACACAAACACCACCTCCATCTAAAGGGACAGAGAGAATAAAACAATTCTTCAGTCTCCACTGTGTACCTGAGCAAAGTCCGCCCCTGATCTTTTAATTTCAGATAATCGTAGAGGTCGCTGCTCCTTGGATTCCAGTTTATTGTAATATTTCTCAAACATCTCTGTCTCGGTTTTGAGAGCCGAGTTTCCATAGCTGTAAGACAGAACATGCCTGAGTAAGTTCTGTTAAAAGGAGTGTAAACACCAAGTGAGTAGTATTTAACACTTACTAGCTATGTATGCGAGGTACTCAACGTTGCGGTGCCTCGGTTTCCTCATCTGTAAAATGGGTGACAGCACCTATCCTTTAGGGTTGCGGTAAGGAATACAAAGCCTTCAGGACTATATGCCTGGCACATAGGAAGTGCTATTTAAGTATTTGACCTTATTTTTTAGATACATCTAATGAGCTGCAGAATCTAAAGCACTGGTTATTACATTGACAACTGCAGCTGAGATAAAGTTACAAGTTTCATCTTCAAGCATCTTCTCCAGGGGTGTCCAACCTTTCGGTGTATCTGGGCCACACTGGAAAAAGGGTTGTCTTGGCCGCAGATGAAATACCTTGTGACACATAATCACAAAACAGATCTCATGATGTTTCAAGTAAATTTACGATTTTGTGCTGGGCCGCATTCATAGCCATCCTGCACGCAGCCTTTGGGTCACAGGTTGGACACCCTGGATTATTAATATTATTATTAATAATAACCTAAGCCACTGTCAAATCCTTTGCAATTACTACATTCTTAAAGTTACACACACACCCATAATCTTCAGATGTTTCCTTTGGTTTATGTTTCTCAGATTTTTAAAATTTCTAGCAGACAACAGATGAAGTATCCACTGGAAGTTTATTTTAAATGGTGGTGAAGATTTGAACAGATGGTTTTTAATTTTTTAAGATTTTATTTATTTATTTTTAGAGAGGGGCGAGGGAGGGAGAAAGAGAAACATCAGTGTGTGGTTGCCTCTCATGAGTCCTCCACTGGGGACCTGGCCCTCAACCCAGACATATGCCCTAGACTGGGAATCAAACCGGCAACCCTTTAGTTCATAGGCCAGCACTCAATCCAATGAGCCATACCAGCCAGGGCTTGAACAGATGGTTTTTAAACAACTGGGATGACAAACCTCGTTTATCCTGTATATGCCAGGATTGTGACTCTTTAACTTCTTCACTTCATATATACATATATGTAGTATGCATACTTATAGCACATATGTATGTATATGTTGATGTAAGAGAGAGAACAGCTTTGGTATTTTCATATGTTTGACTGAATTTTAAGACCAGTGGAAAAGGCTCAGTGGAAAGCCCAATAAATCAAACACCTTTCTTGTTCAGCCTCTGTCATGTCCCCACTGCAGACAGTGGGGCGGCACCGAGTCTGAATCCCAGCACTGCCACCCACTGGCTGTGTGACCTTCGGGTAGTGACTTTACCTGTGTGTCTTTGTTTCCTCACCCACCTCCTAGCGTTACTGTGCCATTATATAAAGTCACATATGCAAAATACTTGGCATGTAATAAGCTCTCAAAAAAATAGGAGCTGTTAGTAATCATACCTTAGTGCTGACCTGAACTAGTTACAGATGCCACATAGTTACTCATGGCAGAACGTCCAGGCAGTCAGAGCTGCGATGTTCTGTGTGAGACCAGTAAGTTGTACAAGTGCCCCAACTATCTCATGGAATCTCAATACCCAATTTACCTCCTGTTGTAGGTGTAAAACGGGCTGCTAAAAATATGGAGTACTAGGCCAGTCATTCTCGGCTATCCATTTCCATGCTTATACACTGGTTCAGTCATAAATTGACTCATACTAAAAATATTTCAGCTGCCACCTTAATTTTATCATAGATTCCTAGGATTGGAAAGGGGCTTAGAGGTCACCTGCTCCAACCTGCCGCCGCAGAGCTGAGCAACGGCTAAGCGCCCAGTTTGTCACCTGGGAGACCCACTAGGCTGAAGCTCCTGCTTCACCAGTTACCCTCTGGGCTCCCCGCCCCAAGCCCCCACTCCTCCGTGTTGTCCTGGCTCCATCAACGGCTTGTTGGTTCAGTGGCGGTGGACACACAGGGATATAGGGCAAAGGCATGTGCTTTCCCCACTGTGTTGGGGTCTCAGTTTCCCCAGGGTTCAATGCGGACTTGATCGTCTCCATGCTGCACCAAAGTCCGGGTCCACGCCGTGAGTAGGGGCCGCCCCGGGCAGCCAGCAGGCCAGTACCTGAGCTCTTCTACCAGCCCGCACAGCTGGATAATAGGCAGCTCCGCCAAGACAAGCAGCTCGTGGGCAGACGACTCTGCGTCATCTTCAGCCATCCCTCTAACCAAGCGGCCTTTACCAGTGCCGAGTATGGCCCAGCGCGCCTGGTGCTAGCAGCCACGCGTCTGTCCGGCTGCAATCTCCCCAAGCGTCGCCTGGCAACCAAATGCAAGTATGGGGGCGGGACTTCAGGAGGCCCCGCCCATCTCGCGTAACCGGAGTGAGGTCGTTGTCCATAACCAGACACCTAAGTGCGTTCGCTTTTACTTCTCCAACAATAATCTTAAAACGATAATAATAGCAGCTACTGTTTATTCAAGTTACTATGCCCCTGGCACCGTGTTAAGCATAGTTTAGAAATATCTGACAACAGCTTTGTAATAAATATCCATTACTCTATTTTCCAAACAAGGAAACTGAGACCCAGGAAGTGAATTCGATTTGTTGGAGTGTATTCCTTCCCCTACCTCACTGTGAGGCCTCTATTCTGTTCACCACCTGGTGCTTCATTCATACTAACTGCACTTTCTCTTAGATACTAGTACCCTGCTTTCCTGAAAGAAAAAAAAAAAACCCGGCTGATTATTAAATGGGTATAAATTCAATAGACATCTCTAATCAGGCACTGGGTGCGTCCTGAGCACCTTGGCAGAATGTGTGGAGCAAACCATTCCAGCCCTCAAGGAGTTTCGGGTTAAATGAAGGGAACAGCCCCTAAATCAGCAGTTGCAACCTGGAGTGACGACAGCAACAAGGTCGTGCCTCACGCGGATTCCTAGTTAACTTCCACACAGATGCGTGCGTGGCAGGGAGGATGAGGCAGCAGGGTAGCTTCCTATCCACTCCCGTTGGGGTGGAAGAGGGCAGGATGGGCAAATTTCTCTGGGGGTGGGTGGACGCTGGATGTGGTCAGAAAGCAAGCTGTGCCCTGGCTGGTGTGTCTCAGTGGCCTGAGCACCTGCCTGGGAACCGAAGGGTGGCAAGTTCAATTCCACGTCCAGACACGTGCCTGGGTTGTGGGCGGGGTCCCCAGTTGGGGACAAACAAGAGGCAACCAGTCAGTGTTTCTCTCACACTCTGATGTTTCTCTCCCTCTCTTCCTCCCTTCTCCTCTCTCTGAAAATAAATAAATAAAATTGAAAGAAAGAAAGGAAGACAGAGAGAAAGAAAAAGCAAGCCTTAATAAACTGCTTAGGATGAGGGTCAGCCGCCTTCCCCCACAAGGAAAACGTAGGCACTAAACTCCAAAGGACTTCTGTCTTGCTTCTTAGGGGCACAAGGTTGGGGCCACAGTGGATTTCTGCAGATGACAGCAGAGAGGCCGAGCCCCGCCACCACCTTCTTCTCTCGAGGCAGGTAGGCCTCTTTGGGCTCTGGAAGCAACGTGGACCACATTTAGAAATACTTAACATGCTCACAGACCAGGTGATACGAACAAATGGATGCCAGCCGCAGGAGGGCCGGGAGGAGGAAAGGGGCCCCGCAGCAGGACCGAGCCTTGGCGCCGACGGCCCTGTCCACAGGCTGAGTCCTACAGCAGACCCAGTGGTCCTGGCGGTATTGGTGGCGGGGAAGCAAGCAGCATGAAGTGTTAAGGAAGATGCGGTGGGGAAATCATGATGCAATACCTGGAATTTGGGGAAAAGACCATGCAGTGCACAGTAGGCCCTTTCGTGCCTTTTGAGAAACGGTTGCCATTGTTATTTCTTAATATGTTTACTACCAATTAGGTGCTATTATTGCTTAATAAAAACACAACAAGGGTTGTTTCAGTTACTGTTACGGAGTGCTAGCTCCGTGCCAGGCCCTGTGCTAAACACGCTCCACCCATTACTGCATTGCATCAGCGTGATGGTCCTGCGAGATACAGGTGCCTTCTCAGCCCCCACTGCACCCGGGAGGAGACTGAGCTTCAGAGAAGTTTAGCAGCTTTCTCAAGGTCACGTAGCTTTCCTGGGTGGGGCTGCAATGCAAACCCAGATTCATCCCATTGTGCTCTTTCTTCTCATCACATCCGCCCTGTTAGAGCAGTGGTTGGAGGGCAGGGGTGGTAGGTCAGGGACTAATTTGGCCTTCCCGGGACACATTTCACAATACCCAGACACATTTTTGCTTGTGTTTACTGAGGGGGTGCTATTGTCATCTAGAGGATAGAAGCCAGAGAGATGGCACTGGGATTAGTTTCCCCATACTGATGTAACAAATCACCACCCGCAGAGAGGCTTGAAACCACAGAATTGTCTCGCCGTTCTGGGGGCTAGAAATCCAAGAGCAAGGTGTTGGCAAGGCCACACTCCCTCTGAAGTCTCTAGGGAAGAACACTTCCCAGCCTCCCGCGGCGACTTGCAGCCCGATCACTCCATCTTCATGGGCCGTCTTCCTCGTGCCGTGTGCATCCTCTCCTCTTCTAATAAGGACAGAACTCACGTGATTCAACCCTGACCGGTGTGGCTCTGTGGGCTGGGCATCCTCCCACAAACCGAAAGGTCACCGATTCGATTCCCGGTCAGGGCACATGCCTGGCGTGCCAGGTCCCCGGTTGGGGGGTGTGCGAGAGGCACCTGACCAGTGTTTCTCTCCCTCTCTCTAAAAATAAATAAATAAAATCTTTTTTTAAGCCATTTGATTCAAGGCCAACCCGAAGTCCAAGATGATTCCCTCTCAAGATCTTTAATTACATCTGCAAAGATCCTTATTTCCAACGCGGTCACGCTTGGGAAGCGCTAGATGGAGGCATTTCTGCTCGGGAAAGCAGTGAGCACGAGCCTGTTCTAACCCAGACAGCGATGAACGGAAGCATCTCAAAGCAGCTTAAAGTCTGGAGCCTGCCCTCACCTCCACTTTTCTAGGACCCCTTCTTCTGCCATCCCCATGTGGATGCTGCCCCCTGCCTAGCATTTTTGTAGCACTCTGCATTTTGCCTTCAGAATGATACGGTCAGACCCACCTGAAGTATTAAGCTTGAGCCGTTAATAAGAAGAGTCTGGTCTTTTCTTCCCCCCAAGAGAAGATGCTGACAAATCAGATAGAGGAATTTGGGCTTACGGGCAAGTGACTATTTGCATGTTATAGGAAAGACACCAGCCCTATGAGGTGGACCTTCATCTACCTGATGGCTGCCAGAGCACGTTCCTCTATTCTTTCAATAACTACATTGAACACCTGCTCTGAACTTGGCCCTGGGGCTGCACAGTGAGCAGCGAGGCTTGTGTGCCTGCTCACAGGGACCCTGCAGTCCAACGTGAAGAATTACAGTGGCGTGGGGCTGTAGGAGAGAAATACAATGTGCGCAGATTTCAAGGGGCCGTGAAAAGCTGAATCAGGTGAGCTGTAAGCCGAGACTTAAAGACTGAGCAGGATTCAAATGCAGGTGAGTCAAACTCATCATCACTCCAAACTCAGCCACAAGCTTAGCCCCCAAGCAAAGCCCCAGAGAAGAGCAGGGTTGGGAGAGGAGGGTGCTTGTGCAGAGAGGGCCAGAGCGAGACCGGGCTGGTGCAGAGGGAGGGGGCATTGAAGGAAGGTCGGTTCGTGATTCTCCCCAAAGCAGAGAAGCTCGCTACCAACCGCCACCTCCTGGTTTTCTCCTTGTCCTCTGGAGGCTCCCTTGGACCTCGTTTCTAGGGTGAGTTTTCTGGGAGCTTTCTCTCAGTGTCCCTGTCCAACCCAGCCCCCCCCCTCAGTTTCCGGGAACCGAAATCTTCGGGTGCTCAAGTCCCCCATATAAAACGAGACAGAATTTGCATATAGCCCACACACTTCCTCCCACGTACTTCAAACCATCTCTAGATCACTTACAATATTTAATTCAATGTCTACACTTTGCAAACAGTTGTTATACTGGGTCGTACTGTATTGTTTGAGCCATCATGGCGAGGAAAAAAGTCTGTGTGTGTTCAGGGCAGAGGTAACCATAGTAGGACGAATTACACAGCACACATCAGCAGCAACGTAATGTTTTTTCAAATAATTTTAAAATATATTTAAAATTTTTAAATTTTATTGTTGTTCAAGTAGTTTTCTGTCTTTTACTCCCATTCAAATAATTTTAAAAATATTTTATTTATTTATTTTTAGACAGAGGGGAAGGGAGGGAGAAAGAGAGGGAAAGAAACATCAATGTGTGCTTGCCTCTTGTGCGCCCCCTACTGGCTCACAACCCAGGCATGTGCCCCATCTGGGAATTGAACTGCCCATCCTTTGGTTTGCAGGCTGGCGCTCAATCCACTGAGCCACACCAGCCAGGGCTTTTTCAAATAACTTTGATCTGCAGTGGGATGAATCCCTGGATGCAGAACCTACAAATACAGAGGGCTGACTGTATTTCATTGCATTTATTCACTATTCTTTGATGAGATTTGGGGAGTTTCCAGCATGAGGGTATTATTATAATATGCGCTACTAGGAACATTCTAGTAAATGTCTTCTGGTGAACCTATGTACACACTTCTTTTAAGTATACACTTAGGGGTGCAACTGCTAGGTCACGGTGTGTTCGACTTTAGTAGATACTGCCTGACACTTTTTAAAAAATGAAGAGAGGGAGGGAGAGAGAGAGAGACATCAGTTTGTGTCCCACGTACTCATGCAGTCATTGGTTGACTCCTGTATGTGCCCAGACAAGAGATCGAACCACAGCCTTGGCATTTCTGGATGATGTTCTAACCAACTGAGCTACCCAGTCCGGTCCAGCTTTTCACTTTCTAAAACAATCAATAATACGGGGCACTGTGCCCTCCTTCACCAGCAGTCGGTCCCTTGTTCACACACATTTATGGAGCCCAGCTCTGTGTCAGGCCCTGGATGAGCTATTGGAATACCCAGGTGGGAAGGCCGTAGGCTAGCCTTGGCCCCGTGTACCCTGGGGTCTATTTCTTCTCCTTCCCTGTGTTGCAAGGACGGAGGGAGGGGCTTCAACGAGCCCTTTAGGCTGCATGTCCCAGGCTCCTGGGTCAGCTAAAGGGCAGGAGAAAGGAAGTGATTTCGGGGGGCTCCCTCTGCCTCCCTGGACCATGCCTCTGGTTGTCACTGCAGCTCTTGCAGGGATCCAGATCCC